AGCACTTTGCAGTGGCTTCGGGCAGAGCACTCAGGGACCTTCTGTTAAGGGGAGACAGAGGTGTTGGCTGCCAGGTCTTTCTTGGAAGAAGCAGGTGCAGGTATTTCACGGCATGGTTTCGAGGGTTTGGCTCGCGAAAATCCCCCCCCTCGACCTTGTTTCATCACCATGCAAAATGCAGAACCCAGCATCATGCAAAGAGCCACCAGGCTTTCACTGACAGAGCGTGTTGGGTGAGCACAGCTACTGGCAATGCTTGCTGTGGCAGCTGTCGCTTTGTGCCATAAGCCTACAAACCCAAGTCCGACATCTGGGGGCCCGTAAGTGCCTCATCGAATATCTTGAGGCCTGTCACGTCTCCGCTTCCTTTCCAAATTAAGGACTGGAAGCTGCCCATGGTGGCAGGCAGCACAGTGTCCAAAGCAGCCTGCGGTTGGCTTGACATGCTAAAGACGCGACGAGGTGTATCATGTGCACCCTAGCCGCCCTAGCCTTAGACTCACCACCAGTCTATGAAATCCTCCCAACATGGCGTGCCTTGGATGTGAGCACTAGGAGCCTGTTCGCATCCAGGCGCTCGGGCCCCTGAGTCCTCAGCGATTCTCAAACCTCTACAACACAGCACATGTCCCCTTCATTCCTTTGTTGTAAGTGTTCTTTTTGGATACTTGAAGCTTCTCTCTTGCTGACTTGTAACCTTTAGTGTCCGAAGACCGAAGCCTTGTTCTTGGCAACTTTTCCATGAGCCCAAACACATTGCGCTACATCCTCCACTAAGAGCTGGTCAGGGCGCAGGTCGAGACCGGCAAGTGCCTGGGGCTGGGAATGCCATCTCACAACCTGACAACGACGGCCACCTTACGGTCCCCCTCCAAACATGACAGGTCCTTACAGAGAGCGACAGAAACCCATCCTTGCTTTCAAGGACCCAAACTAGACTAGATCACTTGCAATCACGGCAAATGCTTCCTAGTGTTACCATTGGAATTGAGGGGCTCCCCAGCATCCCATGACAAGCTCCCACTGATGCGTTTGGGATGCGGGTGGGAGTTGGCGAGACATCCGGACACTGCCCGTCGACGCGCCTCTGGTGTGACAGGGCTCCCGTTTTCTGGCTGCTGGCTGCGCGCACGCAAGCGGAGCTCACTCTTTGAGCCAGGCGCTCTCCAAATTTGACATTGGAAGATGGGGCTTTATGCTCGAGCAGCATCTACCATCACCCTTCCTGTGGGTCACTCTTTGCGTTATAGCGTGGTTAATGGTGCGTGGCCTGCTTGACGTCCTCGTGGAGGTCCGTGATCTCCACTTGCCTATCCTGTCGATGACCGAAAAAGCCACCAGATCTTATGTCTCACCCGTCTGATCTGCTGGGACACTCCAAAGATTCCTCCTGACTTGAGCTGTCGTTTCGGAACATGGAATCCATCCTGCTAGTTCGATCCTGTGCTGGCTGTGCTTTCTTGTCCAGGAGCCGTTGCATGTCGATGAAACCGCTCGGGGGTGTGTAAACGCACGTGCCGTCATTAGAAAAGCCAAAGACTGCCCCCAGTCCCTGTGCGAAGAGACTCCAATGAAGACGTTCATTTAGCCACTCGCAGCCAAACCTCAATTCCCCTGCATTGAACTGCTCCACGCGCATGGTCATCGTGCAGGTGAACAAGTGGCGCAATGCTTCTTTCTTGCAGGCAGCGCACAACATTCGCAATAGGAAGCTTTTTCAGACGAGATCGGACGTTTGAACGAGGCGCCTGCAAAATCCCACCACTTCGAAGCAAAGGCCCCCATTCAGGCAGGGTTGAGTGTGCGTAAGAAGATGGTGAGCCACCCATTCAGAGCCCAGCGTGTGATCAACTGCTAGTTGATAGCTCCTGATGCCTTCCATGGCCTCTTCAAGATGAATCATGCCATGGGAGGATGTGCCGGGCCGGACCTTGCTTGGGGCACCCTTCTGCTGTGATGCAGAAAGGATGCGTGTGGAAGTGCAGGGCAGAGCTGAAAGGTGTCTGAAGCCTTGGCTGTGTTGGCTCAGCTGCTCAGGGCTCGTTTCTGCACTTTCCGCCCTTCCCCGCCTCAGTATCCTCGGGGTTGCTGCCTTCCTCATCAGTGCCTCTGAGGATGGCCGCCTCGCGCAGCCGGCAACCCGCTGTGTGCCTGCGCTGTGGGATAGCCGGATGGCCCGGGTACCAGGGGCTATCAGTCTGCAATCACAGCGAAAGTAAAGGTCCTCTTTGGCGTAATGCTATGCCAGCTAAGGCCTGGCTCCATGTGCTACCCGGACGCGCCGCGTCGCCGGTGAAGCCGTGTGGCCTGGTGGCCTGTGCCCTGCAGACTGAAGAGGCGGGCCAGCACAGCCGTGATTGCTGAGGAATCTCCTGAGCCTGCTCCTCTTTGGGCCCCGGGAGCGTAGGTAGCTGACACTTCGCTTGTCCACAGCTCGCAGCTGCCCTCGTTTGCCCTGGGCCTTGCTCTGGGGTCTGTGCCATTCGCGCCATGCGTTGCATGTTTTGTCTGTGCGGGTGGTGTATCAGCCGGGGAGGGCAGAGGCACTGTATTCCAGGACCCGATTGCTAACATGCTGCTCCATACACTTCCGACCGCTAGATGGCGGAGGCCGCGCAGCGTTCTGCGCGCAGAGAGTTGCCCGTACACGCAAGTTCTAAGGCTAACCCTCCAGAAGTGCTGAGCACTGATGTCATGGTCTTCGCAGAGAACCAACCTTTGGCCACACTTGTGCACTGAAGGTCACTCCCAAGGCCTATCGACACCGGCCTGCACGCCTGAAGGTCCTCTGTACCGAGCTGTTGCAGAGGCGCGGGCCAAAAGCGAGTCTGCTGTTATGTACTCCTGATATACCCCTAAAACGCCCCCAATACCCTCAAGATGTCTTCATACCTCAATTGTGTCAAAATTGATTTAAGAACATGCTACAGGAGATGTGTCAGCAGAATGGGAAGAAGCTCCTACGTAAGTTTACTGTAAGGCCTACAGGAGGGTACTACTGTAATTCAATCCGCTGCGTAAGCTCTTAATAAAAATGGTTTGGTGCATGGTCAGCCGTTTGAACGTTCGATATCAAACCAACTTCGTCATTTGTTTGTTGCATGCCAGTTTGGGAAGAAAGCGGCCTCCCCAACAATTACACGCCAAACAAAGTTGTTTTTCAAGGAACCCCTGATCCCCGAGAAGCAGATTCCAACACTAAATTCAAAGCTCCCACCGTCCATGGCGGCTTCGCAGATTGCCCCCTTCTTGTGCTGGCATGTGGCGAGATTTTCAAAGTAACAACGCTTAGTCATGAGTGTATACTTGGAAATGGGTGTGCTGTTTCGCGAGACAGGATGTGTGGAGACGCTTTGTGATCCTGCAATATTTTGCATGCTATTGATCTTGAAGCTGTGGATGAACACAGTATTCCTGAACATGTGTTTGCAAATAATCCTGTTAAGGTACATCTTCAACATGTCGCCCAGCGAACTTGGTGATCGAAGAACTCTCTCTAAATGTGCGCTGGTAAAATCTCGTAAAAGATATAAGTTTTCATTGTTATGTTGTGATTATGGTGAGAGAAGATAAGCATTTTGGACCGTACAGTCTGATGCTAGCTACGAGCCTGTGGCGTGCTGCAACAGTCCATTACAAAGCGTTCACTGCGACGGTTGCTTATTCGGCTCAAAGAGCCAGGTGCAAAAATTTGCACAGAGTTATCTTTCCCGATTGCTACCGTTCCGGCTTTGTGCCGAAACATGACGATTATGGCTTGGATGTCCCTAAGCCTTGCCATTGTGGGCCAGATCCCAGGCTGCCCTTAAAGGGCGTTGGGGTTAAGAGTGCGATTCTAATTGGATGGCCCATGATTGTTGTTTTCTGGCACCTTCCACATCTAATTGCAGGGTGCTGCCCCGTGTTGCATTTTTGAGTTTCGGGGGGTGTAAGGCGAAAGTGTTTCTGAAAATCCCAGGATCCGGGATTTTTGGTTTGAATTTGGGATTGGGGAGCCATGGTATTATTGCAGCATGAACGGGCTTAGGGTTTAAGACAATGGCCGTTGGAAACTGGAAGCCCTAGATGATTGTTCATGGCTTTTGTCTGCAGCAAAATGGCAGCTTTTATAGATAGGGGTGTGGCATCCCGATAATAATATCGACCCCCAAGCACTTGAATCCTTATTAAAAAAGAACCCGACATGGTACCCCTAGTTTTGGAAGACCCGCAGGTATGTAGCTTTCAACAACATGCCCAAAAGGAGACAAGCCTGTCCCGAGGAAAATCATGCAAATCGTAAAGAGGAAGAGGCCAAAGCTTAGATCCTAAACCAGCGAGCAGTACACTGACTTTCATCAAAAGCAATTGTCAATTGCCAACTACATCCTCTCCCCGATTGAAGCTGGATTTGGGCGTTTTATCAACTGGGAAACATCTTCCAAGGATTTGGGGAGCGCAAGCTTCGGTGGGGGACGTTGACACCGGGTGTCCGGCGACCTCTGCCAGCCTGCTCCAGGCGAAACGTGAGGCGGACAAAGCAACGTTGGAGAGCGTCTTTGGGCTGCAGGTACCGGCTAGTCTGATTGAAGGTCTATGTTTCTTTGAGGGCTGGGCTCCAAGGGCATGTTGATTCAGGTTAGGTTGAGTTCTGCTAGTTGTTGAGGAGGAGAGGGTTCTTACTCAGGTCGGCAGGCTAGATCTGAAATGGCGTTTGGTTACGGAATTTGGCGATGCACATCCGCGAGCATGTGTGGTGCGTTCAGCAAAGATTAAAGTTGAGCTCTGAGGGCTTCAATGGATGGGGGGTAGCCTTGTCGTACGTGAATCCCGCAGCATGGCAGACCTTCCCAAAAAGTCGGGTCTACACTTCAGGGAGCTTAGGGTTTAGGGTTAAGATGATAGTATCAACCACTTTGGTGCATGCAACGGTCAGCGATCCCAACATTTTCATGCTGTCCACTGCACCATCAAGATTGTGCCGTTCGGAAGCGCTGTGGCCTTTCAGGCCATGTACCCCCTCACGTGTAATGAGCTCGCTGTTCAATGGTAGCCATTTTCTTGGCTGCATCCTTCAAGGCAACCTCACCATCATGCAAGTACCGCTGCACAGCTGACGAAGACCACCTTCCAGTCCTCTTCACTAGCTCAATCTCGCCAGTCGCTTGGAACAAGGCTGAGGCTCCACCGATACGAAGAGAGTGGGACATGAAGCGCTCGAAAGGCAGTCCAAGTGCCTTCGCGGTCTTCTGCAAGACATTCTGGATCTGCAGACGTTTCACCACAGTGCCATTGGCCCACCGAAACAAAGGCTGAAGCGCTTCAGGTCCATGTCCGAACCTCCTGGGTGCCAAACGACTGAGCTCCTCGAGGGCCTCCACCACGCACAAATCAGCATCACCTGATCTGTACATTGTTTTGCACGTGCCAAAGGCTTCCTGGTCGGTCTTGGTCTTCCTGAACTGCACTGTGACCCGATCACGACCTGGATGCCCCCCACATCGTCGAAGAGGAACTTCACGTCGACGCCCCGAAGGATCATGGCATAGTCGATGCCATTCGAGTCGCAGTACTCCTTGGCCCGCAGCATGAAGAACCACGCCGTCATCACTGCAGCCCTCAGCACCGCCGCATCGAGGATGTCACCGACCTCGTCGCAGTCAACATTTGTCACCCTCTTTATCCATCGCAGCATCTCTGGAGTAACCCCCAAACGACGAGGTTTCTTGACTGACCGCTTGTCCAGTGCTCCCAATAGCATCCACAAACGGTACATGCCTTCGGTGGAGTTGCCTTTGCCAGCGCGCTTGTGCGCGTCCTTGAGCGCGAACACGGCCTGCTTGATTGTGGCAACAGAGCATCCAAGCCATCCGAGATAGCCCAAGAAGCCCAGGATCTTGTCCTCGTTGGTCTCCACACGCTGTGCCTTGTCCAGGTACTCCGTGTGCCATTTCTGTCGCCGGGACCAAGCTTTCCACTTGCCGTAGATGCCCGCATACTGTTTGGTCGTGCTGTCGGCATGGTAACCCACAAGGTTCTCCTCAATCCATTCTTCCACGCGGTCACCAACCAGGCCATCAAAAGGCCTGACCTGAACAGGAGACTCATGAACATGAGCCTCCCCACACGCTTCGCGAGCTTTGTCACCTGCTTTGCCACCAGGTCGCCCTCCGGCTCGATGAAAATCGACCTCGCCCTCGTCCTCGTCAGTGAACAGGGCCCACAACCATAAAGCCTCGCCCCATCGCCAAACGGCCCGCTCCACTTCATAGAGCTCGCTATCCTCCGCCGATGGTCGCCCTCCGGCCCGGCAATCTCCAACCAGCTGAGCACGTGGAAAGATTCCTCGTCGCCATCGTCCGAGCCATTCCAGCAACTTGGTGAGCGCCTCTTCACCTAAAGGATCGTGCCCCCCACCAGCCTTTCGGTCGGGTCCATTTCGGTCAACATACCCGGCCATAAGGACCAATGCCATGGCAGTGTGCCCCCCAGTCGCCTTGTTCCCCTCGACCAAAGCCTTTTGCGAATCAAGGCCTTGTTGGTGAAGCAGCTGAAGTTGATGGCTCGTGCGCCCTTGGCACCACCACACCTCCTCGGCTTCCAGCTTTCGCACCATTCCGGGGGGTCCTCTCGGATCGAACACAATGCAGTCCTCCACCATGTGAGAGTCCGACTTCCGTAAAGGCCACAACAGAGGTCCACCCGTGCCGTACAGGTTGTGCCTCCCGACTTGGTCCCAATAGTGACCTTTGACAACTGGCAGAAGAGGGTCGCGGGGCACGCCAGCATCAGTGAGGATCTTGGTGGGCTTGATCCATTGACTTCCAACCACGCCTTTAGTCGGGTGAATCCGCGAAGACATTGGGGGTGCCAACAAACCTTTACAAGTGGTGCGTTCGAGAGCTCCTTCGACATCACAATGTTCTGAGGCCACAACACACACTCGCCGTCGAGCCGCAACCGAACTCGGTCGTCACCAACTCACCCTCGAAAACATGCCAACCTGCGCCCTCGAAAACTCCTCGGACGCGTTCCCACTCAGCCGCCCTTGGGCCCTCGATCACTACAACTCTTGCCTGGCCATCAATTGCGGCTCTAGCGACCACGGATCCAACTTTGCCATGCCGATCTGGAGGAAGTGCCGCAAACACAAGCTCGCCTGGTTCCCGCCCATCCAGCGCGGCGTGACTGGCAACCCATCGCGTTGGCTGCCTCCAGAAAGTCAAAGAGCCACCTGCCATCGCCAGCCAGCTCCACAACCCGAAGGTTTGCCCAGTTTGGGACCATGGCCGTCGGAATCGCCCTTCTCAACCTCTGCTCCTTCAAGCGAAGAAGCTCCTCCCGGTCGTCGACGTCCCATGCCAGCAAGCATGGCCCGAACTTCTCCGAATCTTCCACTGCCTGTCGAAGGTCGAGAGGCCGATGTCGACCACAGTCAAGCCACATTGCCCAAGCCATTGGTGGAATTCCTCGTCGCTGCACCTGGTCACAAAGTCTGCCCCCACATTGTGATAGGTGCGAAGCCAAGCAGCAACCACAGTGCAGCGATATCTCATTTCGACCATGTTGAGGATCCTGACCATGAGGCGACCTGACACAGTGCCGCTCTGCCTTTCCGTGATCCACTGCCGGACCACCTGGTTGTCGCCGCCGTAGAGGATGACTTTACCTGTCCACAGAGGGCCCATCCGACAAGCAACATCTCCGCCACATGGATTGCCACCTCATCACCATCGTGGTCGCCGCGCTGCCAAACCCATCTCGCCGCCAGAGAAGCATCCGTCCTCATCACCTTGCCATTAGTCCAATCGATGGCTCCAATCACCACCTTAGTGGCATCCGAAGAGACGAAGACAGCACCCTCCTTGATCTCATCAGGCAGGGCCAAACGCTCACGTACCGGAAGGAGTTCACGCGTGCTTGCCCCAAACTTGGCCGGCCACGTCTCCGGTCTAGCGCACAGCCACCGACAAGCCTCAAACAGTTCCCACAAGTCGCGCCAAGCCTGGTCTTCCTCCTCCTCCGATGAGCAAGCTCTTGGTCGAGCTCGCGCGCCTCCGTCCGTTTCCAGGTCGAGGAACCGGTCCGCAGCCTTGAGCTCATTCTTCAAGCCTTTGACCACCACTGTCCAGCCCGTGGCGATGCCTCGAAACCTCTGGATCTCCCAGACGGTGATGTCTTTGGCCCCATAGTCGAAAGCCGCCTCAGCAAGGAGAGAAGCTCCTTTTGCAACCCGTCGCTCTGGCAAGTGAACCTCTTCTGAGCATGTCTCGAGATCGAGACACACGGTTTGAAATGTGCGGAACGGCCCCTCAATCTCATTCTTTTCTTTGTTGACTGCGGCCTTCCCGAGCAGTTGCATGACGCCCTGGTCGTACACATCGCCAGCTATGCATGGCCGTAGTCCAACCCAAGGTTCAACCAACACATTGTCGTCGACGAGGATTTTGCTATCGAAAGCCCAGGACAAATCTCTTCTCGCGTGGCACGGATGATGAGCTCGAAGCCCTGCCCCAGACAGTCCATTCGCCCGGGGATCCGGAGAAACCAAAGGAACTCACCAAATAGATGACCGTGAACTCCTCGCCCTCCGCGAAGACCTCGCCCTCCATGTGCTCCGGACACCACGGCAGATCGCCTGCAAACAGCTCAACGTCCGCAGGGTCCACCCATAGCAACCGAAAAGCCCCAGCAATGTCCCGTTTCGAAAGCAAGACCGTGATGCCAGGGAGGCGGCGTTTGATCCACAAAACCAACCTGGCAACCTGCGCATGCTTGGGCTGAAGCGCCGGGGGATGGAAGGTCTTCTCCGTAAAGGCATTGACACCCCGTTGGTCATGAACAACACGCTTGTCAGGGGCAATCGACCTGTCCGGAAGCATCTTATCCACAGCGTTGAATGGACTCGAAACCACCTTTGACAAAGCCGGATGGTTCGCTGGGGCCACAAGGACCCGCTTTCAGGACGTCCTTCCAAATCTGCTTGAAGACCTGGTCGAGGTTTCGTCGGGCGTTGGGGTGAGGTTTGGCACGTACCCGTTGGCGGGGCCCATTGTATCTGGCTGCCAACCCTTTGTGTCGGACTTCCCTCATGTAGGCCAGCGTGTCAGGGTGCAAAATGGTATCGAGGATGGTCTCGTCGACACCCGCGAGGTTGTTGAGGCCGTTCTCTTCACGAACATGCACATGGTCCACGTAGTCCTCTGCTGCCGCCTTCGCGTCTCGCGTAGGTGCCCGATATCCTTCCACACAACGAGGTTCCAAAGACCCGGCCCTGGTCTCCCCTTCCAAACTGACAAACTGACCCATGCACAAGCTTGAACCGGCAAGTCCTGGACAATGGAGTAGATCTCGTCATCATCATCAAGGCTGTCCAACCATCCAGGAGGGCCATGAAAACGGGGTGGTGGTACGGGACTCTCGAACAAAGAGGTAGTTCTTGGAGCCAGTGGTGGCGCCCGCGCTTCTGGGACGGACATGGTTGAAGCCAATGGCCCTGCTTGCACTTCTGGCACGGAGGTGGTTGAAGCCCGTGATGTCGCCTGCGCTTCTGGCGCAAAGGTGGTTGAAGCCCATGATGTCGCCCGCGCGTCTGGCACGGAGGTGGTTGGAGCCCGTGATGTCGCCTGCGCTTCTGGCACTGGTTGAAGCCCATGATGTCGCCCGCACTTCTGGCACGGAGGTGGTTGAAGCCCACGATGTCGCCTGCGCTTCTGGCACGAAGGTGGTTGAAGCCAAGGATGTCGCCCGCGCTTCTGGCGCAGAGGCGGTTGAAGCCAAGGATGTCGCCCGCTTCTGGCACGGAGGTGGTTGAAGTCAAGGATGTCGCCTGCACTGATGGCCAAGCAGAATCAGCAGCGGGGTACTCGAAACCAGGAGCTCGCAACTGAGGTTGCTGATTGTTGTCTAGCGAAGTCAAGGATGTCGCCTGCACTGATGGCCAAGCAGAATCAGAAGCGGGGTACCCGAAACCATGAGCTGCCAACTGAGGCTGTTGCTTGTTGTCTAGCGGGCCCATATCTCCTGCTGCTCTGGCATCGTCTGTCTCCTGTGGCAAGCAAAAGGTCTCACCCCCCCCCCCTTTCGGGACCAACGCTGCACTCAGCAAGTCCACCACAACCTTGACAAACTCAGGTGCAGAAACCCCAGCTTCCGCACAGTGTGGCCACAGCACCCGGTCGAGAGCCTTTGAGGGCAATATGGCGGTGTGCTCCACCGACTCCCGGGCAACGGCGGCTCAGTGCAGCGGCCAATGCGGAACACTTGCGGAAGACCACACGAGTGCGATGATGATAAAAGCCGTCGCCTTCTGAAAAGGCCCAAACCAAAGGCACACATGGAAACTCAACGAAGTCCACATCCGGCCGGGCCAAAATTGCTTTCCACCATGGAAGGTCCCACATCTTCGGGTACCTTCCACTGCGCGCCGTGCTCTCTGCGATGGGAAAAGCGTCGCCGTCCAAACCTGCCAGGAAGCCCTCCGCCGCAGCCTTGCTCAACAAGTTGCCCAGGCGCTCCGCATCCTTGAGAGGCGCCCCATTGGCCCCTCCTTCAGGGCACTCAAAGGTTCGAGTTGCTCCGTTCTCCAACAAGGACCAATCGCAGAAAGAAGTGCATGGAGGTGCAAACCACCACACGTTGGCCTTTGCCTCGCTTGACACTGTAGAGCATGTCCTTGACAACGTGGGGCAGGGTCAGATCACAAGCTGCAATGTACCCTTGACGAAGATGAGGGTCATGGAAAACTTCAATGGGCTCCATGCACGCCATCCCGGCTTGCCTCCACGCGCGTGTCAACACAGCTTTGCCCGCAAAGACCTCCTGCAAACACAAGACTTCGCCCCGGACAGGAACTCCTTGCTCAAGTGGTGTAGCCCCTGCCTTGATGCAACCCACAATTGCTGCCGCAGCTAGGTTGCTTAGTCTCCGTGGGGCGCAAGGATCCACGATCTCCAGCCTTCCGTCCCTCTTTGCACAGCCGACACGTGACCCGACCCGGGCTCGTTCGCTCTTGATCATGACGAGAGTGCCAGAAGAAAAGGAAGCCCAAAGCTGGAGTATCATAAGGCTGCCATTGATCCAAATGTTGTTGCTGATCAAGTTCCGCGGGCGGCTCCAGGAGAACCATATGACCACGCCAAATCAGAACCCAGCATCCAACCCCCTTCGGCCCACATCGAGCCTGTCACTGTCTCCACCACCAGGTTGCCGAGGTAATTGGCGCGAATAATTGGCGCGAATCACAATCAGCTTCCCGTCCTCCAAATCCGGAATCGGAAAGACAGCGTGCGACCTGAAATCCTTGTCGTGGTTGGCATGGATCATGTCGTGGGTGTAGACGCGCAATGGGAGCCACTCGCTCCGCTGGTTCGCCCATCGCGGACTGTGCCTCTGCTGCTTGACGTGCTTGATCAAGTCGGATTTCGCAGCTCTTGTCCGCCGCCTCGTCCATTGAAGGTTGTCGAGCCAGCTTTCGCCACAGGACCCCTGCTGCAATGGCCTTTGTGACGCATGGTCGTTTTCCACACCCTCGTCTGGTTAGCGTAGAACGCCTGCCAACTCATCCGACATAGCCACTTTTTTCTTGTAGTCCCAAGATCCAACGACCGCCACCGATACGGACATGCCCTCTGCCTGGTCGCCCTGGCTCCCAGGAGGTCTCGGCCTCGGACACCGCAATGCCCTTCTCGGACTCTGCCTTGCACTCCGTGGCGCGCTCCAACGCCTCTGCAGCCATGTCGCCGACGCCGTAGGTCACCATCTCGCCCACCAACTCCTCAAAGGTCGCGTTGGGATCCAAAGCCACACGTGCCGCAGCCCATTCGAGGCCTCGTTCAATCGGCTTAGCACCGCCCTTCTGCCAAGTCGCGCGTGACGGAGCTTCGTCGTTATCCAACCAGCTGTGATCGGGACCTTGGATCTTCTGTCGCATGTCCTCCTCCGCCGGTGTAATCGACAGGAACTCTTCCGGGACATCCCAGAACTGGACGACCTTTTCGCCCCCAGCGCGCGTGGTCTCCCCTTTGTCGGCGTCCGACCCAGCACGCTTGCCATCCACGACCTTGTCGGCTTTGTCCTTGGCCATGCCGGTGCGGAGTGCCTTGATCTTGTCGTTCACCGTCTCCTTGGTTTCGATCTTGAGGCCTTTGAGTCCACCTCGCCTGAGGAGCTGCATTTGGACACATGGGTCAAGCTGAGAGAAACGCCCTTGCAATCCTGCGTGAGATCGTTGGCATGCTTGATTTTGGCAACCAAGATGAGCCAGTGCGCCCCAGCACAACAACGTGCCATTCTTGTCCATAGGTGTCCTGGCCTTCGCTTGATTTATCTCCTCTTGTGACAAACGAGGCCCCCGCAATGCCTTGAGAGTAGGCTTGTCCTCCGCTCCAGCGCGCACCCCCGGGCCTTTCTCCACTCTCCGACCGCCTTCCCACGTCATGCGCCGCAGCATCCGCTCTTGCCGCCGTTCGATTCGAGGAACCACCAGTAGCAAACCAGCCCTCGGGATTCAAGAGGTCGAAGGTTCGGGGAAGTTTCAACCAGGCATGACCATGCTCGTTGGGCAACAGTGCAAAGAATTTGATGTCCTGCAGCGACATGGTCTCTCTCCCGGCCTCCTTTTTGAGCAAGCGAAGAATCTCTTTCAACTCCTCGAGGAAACGCCAATGCAACTCCTCCCGCACCTCTGACAACACAGCCAAAGGCCATTTGTGCGGTGTAGCCTGATGCCATTCCAGTCCTCAAACTTGGTGGTGGGAGCAGGTCGTTGATCAGCTCCTCCTTTGTTCGCACGGGCTTCGTAGGTGAAGGCGTCGAGCTCGGCGTCCGTGTAGGAAATGAAGTCGGTGGCGCGCATTCCTTCTCCTGACTGCCCCAATAAGGGCCTGCGAGACCAATGGCCAGGCGGTTGGTGACCTTCCTTTCGTAACTTGGTGGAGGCCCCGATTTGTGCCGAGAGAAGTGCATTGGCTAAAGCTTGCCCTTGTTCCCCTGCCCCAATCGTCACCTGGTACTGGTTACAGGCTTGAAGAAGAAAAACCAGCTCCTCAGATTGTCGATTGAGGCCTTTAAGGGTGCCGGAAGGTGCCGAGGTCGTGTCTGTATGACTCGACCAACGAAGCGATCTCAGCGGTCTGTGACTTGATGGCCCTGGCGATGTCCTCAATGGTGCCGGTAGTTTCATCAGCTGGGGGTGCAGGTAAATGGCTGGAGCGGCAATCTTGACCTCAGGAACCACGGAATTGCTTCGCTTGGCCACGGCCGGCTGCTCACATGCACTGACCACCTCCCAGGATTTTGCAGTCCCTTCCCTTCGTCGAACTTTCAGACAGGGAGGCGCTGAGGATTTCGGGCTCAGCCCGCTGCCAGGCTTTGATGAACTTGGTGAGGCCCTTCTGCCCCTTCTCTTGCTCGAGCACGGCCTGCTGCACCAAAGTTGCGGTAGCCAAAGTCAAACCTCGTTCCGTGGCCAAGTTCACCCTGACCAAGGCCCAGCTGGCGACCTTCAGCATATTGATTGAAGAACTCCTCCAGCAATGGGGTCTCCACATCACGAGACGGGGAGTCTTGCAGGCCCAGCAGCGCCAAGTTTCGCTGAATGCTGGACTTGGGTGTGCTGCCTGGAGACTTTCGAGGCTGAGTTGCCGCGCCGTCGCCCTTGACCTCCTCCAACAACTTCCGTAGATCTCGTAGAGCAACTTTTCCTCCTTGCCCTTCGAGAGGCAGCTCAGGTTCTTCAGGATCATCACCAGGTCGCGTGACAGCCGGATGGGCCACCCTCGTTGGACGTGGAGACAGCCGCCTGGTAGGTGTGGAAGTAGGCTCGCAATGTGACCTGCATAGCCGAACACCTTTGGCCTCCTCGACTGCCACCCTCTTGCAACCCACTCTGCTACAGGCTTGAGGCCGTCGCTTGCGCTCATACTCAAAGGCATGCCCAAGACACAGCCGTGCCTGACCGGAAGGGCAAAACCCATCCTCATGAAGCAGCTCCAAGGTGATGGAACCCTTACTCTTGCACGGCCCCTTTGACAAACATGTATCTTGCAGCTCCTCGGACCACCGGACCTTGTGCGCGTCACACGCCACCTCTTCAGTCTCTGATTCAGAGCCAAACTCCAAGCGGGTGACCTTCTTGGCCTCAGTGGCAGTTGCCCAACACCAGGTCCCTAAAGTCCTGCCAGCCTTCGCCGCCTCGAGGCAGGCGTACTCCTTGAAGTGTTGTCCCTCCTCTGCGCAGTTGAGGTTACGACACAGATGGAGTTTATCATCCCCCCTGCAAGCTTCCACGATTTCGGGATCACCACGCATGGAATACACTCACGAACAAACCCGGAGTCCTAATCGTCTGGCTGTCGGCCCCAACCTTGAAGACGGCAATCTTGCCCTCTCGCCTGATCAGAACCCACTTGTCGGAGGAACCAGTCTTCTTCAGGTGCGGAGGTCAGCAGTCTCAGGGATCCTACCCGTACCCGGCCCCTGGAAATTGGCACCGGCAGCTTCAGGTACCCCGCCTGCAGCACGTTGCGCCCAATACACCAGAGTGCCCAACTTCTTCACAGTGGTACGAGCTATCCAAATGATGCCCATCAACACTGCTGAACAGAGGGAAATCACCGGCCAGCATATAGCCCACATGTAGTGCGCCATGAGACAAACCAGGAGCAACAGGACCAACCGTAGCGCCCTTGACACCCGCTTTTGACTCCTTGCCATGCACTGCCGAAGATTATCCATCCCACAAAGCTTACAAGGGCATCCGCTGCCACGCCCAGCCAAGCATCCCATGAAAAGGAGGAACCGGACTTATCCTTCTCATCCTCCCTGGAAAACAAAGCCTCACCCGCGGCCTCTGCCCAGGCGTAGCCGTCCTCAACCTTGCTGTCGAACCATTGTCTCGCCTGCAACCATGGATTGGGGTCACTGCTGTTCACCTGAGGTGTGATCGTGACATTGGGGTTCCAGCCCTTGAAGCCCGGGAACCATCCACCAGTTGCAGTGAGCAGCGAAGCTACGACTACTGGGGGGAGGTGTGGCATAACGCCACCACCTACAGCAAAAAGCCAAAACCCTGCAGATGCGCAACCCTTTCGCTGCAGAAAAGCATCAGTTACTTCCTAACTTATCATTATTGTCAATGATAAATAGCAATAGTCGAAATAGTAATGCTACTGGCACTAATCGTGTTCATGATACTACTGACACGGTTATTATAACTATACTCATACACAATGACAGAGGTTCTTGGTGCCGTCGAGCGCTTGGAGAAGGAGACTTTGCGGTCTAAATTCATTCGACCAAACAGAACCTCCCTTGCTTCTAGTCCTTTCGCATGAAATTCTGTGTTTGGAATCAGTCCTTGTCTTTCTGACTTTCGGTTTGAGGTAGGCATGTTGTGGAGCAAAAAGTCATTATGACATGCCCCTCGCATTCGCTAACATGCCAGATCAGGTCAAGGCCAGATGTCGAGGCCGTTTGGGGGTTGTCCCAAATTTCGAGGTACATTTTTGGGGCCTTGGAGTTTCCCATAATAAGACTAGGACCCTAACATACTATAGCCCTAGTCACTAGGACTATAGTATGTTCGGGTTTATAATATTGGGGTCCCCGCATGAAGGGAAACTACCACACTGAAGTGGAAGAGAATAATTCTTAGGCCCCTCGACCTTGGAGATCTTCAGGGTTTGAGCTGGGGATATGTTTGGGTTCCGAACCTAACAAAACTAGGGTTCGGGTGCAGGCTTAGACTGCTGACAGGTTCTCAAGCCCTGCAGGCTGTTAACTGTGCAGCTTGCATTTGACATTCAAGATGCAGCTGCGCCATTCGCACTGTCAGGTGCGAGGGTCGAGCCGTAAGTGCTTTGGATCTTGCATTCCGTGGTGTTTCTGTTGATGGCTTGCGGCCATTCAGGAGTTTGCAGATCAGGCTATTTGATCTAGGTTCTTTAGAGGGCTCTCTGAGGGATTCCAAGCTGCACCAGGAGGTGGTGGAATTGAAGCGGGAGGATGAGAGCCTGAAGGACCACCGATCCCGGCCATTTGTTTTGTGTTGGCTCCCTCATGCCTGTTGTAGTGACGGTAGCAAGGGGGTTGTTCGAATTCGCAAGCGTGTATACTCTGTATATACGCGTGCAAACAAAAACATGAACATGACAGCTGCGGCTGGCGGATTTTGTTTTTCTGGACATGGTTAAGAATCATGGAGTCAGCTTTGTCTTCCCTAAACTCTAAACCCCTAACCCTTTTTGGGTCACCAGTGAAAAAGCGACCAGGAGATGGTCTCCTTGGGAGCTGCGCGCAAGGAAGGCTCCAACAGCGTGGACGGCCGAATGTTCAGCCCCGGCATGTCAGCCCTGCTGTCGGAATTTCAAAATGAGACTTGGGTTCTTATTATAGCCACGCACCATCACGTCATGATTCTGGTTTATTGAGCTGCTACTTTGTTCCAATTTCAGCTTGTTGGGGCTTATGTACGCAGTCCTAGCATTGACTCTACTGGTTTCAGATCAAGTCTCGGGTTTCGGCCCCAGATGTGCTTGGATAAAGGCTGGAATTGTTACGGAATAAGGAAAGGACGCGGCATGATGAGGCCGATCAGCTTCAGCTGGGTTTGTATGTTGTGCCTCCCAATGCTGTTGGCAAACCTATTTCTCAAGCTACCGAACAGAAGTACTAATCCGAGCCCTACACAATCTCTACACGTTCCTTGGAACAGCCTTCTGTCGCCCTATGTATTGCGGGAGTGAGGGTGCCTCAACGTCCTTCTCTTAAACCTGAGCGCGGCAAAGGAGAGCTCTGAGGACTTCCGCCCGCAATGCGGCTGGGTCGAGCTTCATGGATTTGGGATCCCAATGTTTCCCCTAACTCCTATGCCCGTACTGATAGGTAGTTTCCATTTGCCTGACCCCATACATTCCTACATATCCCTATTAAAAACCCTCTGATAGAGCCCGCCTTTTTAAGCTTTTTGGGAGCCTCTCCCTGTCATCTCTGGGACTTCTTCACTGTCATCTACCCTGGCATGCTTCAGAGATCTTTTGTAAGAGAAATTGAAAAGTCGTCTTTTCATGAGATCCATGGCCGCTTCCACCCATGCTGCAGAGATGGGTACAGTGGCGGACCCCACAGAGCTAAGTGGAGGAGCATTTCCCAAAGATACGCGATCAAGCAGAGCCAGGCCTCTGATAGCACAGCTGATGAGGAAGCATTTAATTAGGACAGACCCCTTGGGCCGGTGCTAAAAAGCAAGTGGTTCTGTTCCTGTTGCTGGCGGAGTTGCCGGTGGAGTTGCCGGTGGTGGTGGTGGTGGTGGCGGCGGCGGTGGTGGTGGTGGTGGCCCTGGCGGCGGCGGCGGTCTTCCTGCTTCCTGGACTGCGCCCTTGCCCTGACACCCCGCATAAGGCACACCGCAGCCCGCTGAAGGCTGTTCAGATGTTGTCGTGATCTCACATCCGAGGCAAGCGCTCCACCACACGACTTATGAACGCGGACGCATTGAAGGGAGCCTCGGCCAAGGCTGAGGCTTTGCAGGTGGGAGATTTTTCAAACCCCGCTGCTAACCAAGCATTTGTCCGCTCACTAGCGGAGGGGTCCGGCATTTTGGGTGTGACCTACAGTCTTGAGGTGGCAAGCTATGTCAGGACCCACGCTGTGATGTACACACAACAGTCCAAAGGCTGTGAGTCTAGAAGAACCGACATGCAGGGACACTTGCCATTGCAAGTGATGCCCCAGTCAACAGGTGGCTATTCGCAAGGCGGCAACGCGAGAATCCACGTCTACGTGTGCCGTGGCCACTGGGCAGTTCTTTCGTAAAGCCGCCGCCGTCGGTGCTCATTGAGAGGACATGATGTGGCAAGAAAGAAAAGGAATCTGTCGCATCCACTAGGTTCCATGTAATAATCACAAATACGGCCAAGATGGGTGTTGAGATTTTGTGGAGGATTATTAGAGTCTTGTTTTTTGCGGTCCATGCTCGATGCATGTTTGTTGGTAGGAGCCACTGAACGGAAGTCAAACGCTCAAACATGCCCCCCCCCCCACTCACAAAAAAAACAAACAAACTTTCAAAGCAGCGTCACCCGAGGTTTATATTCGAGCGTTTGTTATCATGCCAATGCACAACTTCTGTTCACTAACACTGTTTCATTTGCAGGTGAATGAAGTGAGATGCATGTTCCAAATGTGAGCGGCCAAGGGTCAGTTGACGCTGATGGATTTTCGGACAAGCGGAGTTGTGGAGACCTGCTGCCCGGTAGATGACAAGGCCTGGTGGATAGGATACGCGTATTCGTTCCAGATGTGAGTGTGTTTTGTAGAACGTCACTTTCGGATCTCCGGCTCCTGACCTAATGATGCAAATCCTCATGGACAGTAGTAAGGTTGAGGAGTATGGCTGAGTAGTGGTTTCAGGTCTACATTTCACGCTTGGGATTTGAGACTTGAGACTTGCTAGTGTTTTGGTCGCTACCTGGCTTGCACTCCAGCTTTCTTTTGCTAGGGGGTGGGGGATCCATTCAGGAAATTCAGGCATGTGCTTGCTCGTCCTACAAGAGGTGCTTGTCAGAGCCTCCCGGCAGACATGCTGCGGGGGATTTACCGACATGTGCATCACGACTGAAAAGCAGGGCGGATCTGATCAAACACCGAGTCCTTGCGAGCACGCCGTGCTCACAAACAACTTTATAACCGCACATGATAGTCATCATAGAAGTAATAGCCATAACAATAATAGTAGTAATATGAATGGTATTAATGATGGAAATAACCGTGGAAGCCACATAGAAAAGACTGAGTGGTTACAGGGGGCCACGCGGTGACCTTCCAAGGAACTTGCCACCTCAGCAAGTTTGTTTAGCCGAGTGCTCGCAGATGAGGAGGACCAAAATCATGCAATCCAAATTAAAGCCCAAACGCCATACCCCAAACCCCAAACCCTTAATCCCTCAGAGCCCTGAGGCTCCAAGCTTCAACCCTGAACCCTAAACCCTAAGTGAGCTATAGTCTAAACTCCTGAAGGGGGTTATATAGGAGGATGAAAAAATGGACGAAAATAGGCATTCTTACGGGGGATCCTAGGAGTGTAGACTATGGCTCAACTGGAGCGAGGCCTGCGCGGGATGCGCTTCTTTCTCGGGAGGTGCTTGCCAGGCATGCGCAGAGGGCTTCTGAGTCTAACTTTGGCAAAATTGGAGTTTCCACAAAACAAGGGGACCCCAATATAGACCCGCAAAATATTAGAAAATCTTATTATTGGGACCCCTGAATAGGTACCCCTAGTTGTGGCACTCGGTTCCGAGGGCACTTGGGAGGGTTTAGGGTTTAGGGAAATCAGATTGGAAATTCAATACAGGTTGCATTATGGGGATCCCTATACAGTAACCCTATATTTTAGCAAGCTTGTGTTTGCTTGTGTGTATGTGTACAAGTGCATATATGAGTATATATATATATATGTATATATGTATATATCTATCTATCTCTTTATCTCTCGCTTTTTGATGCGGCGCCTTTCGATACTACAGGAAGCCTCCTTGCACCAGACATTATGGAACAAAAAGACGCACCTTCTCTAGAGAATGAGTGGGGAATGGGCATGTAAACATGAAGAATCCCTGATTTCGGCAGACCCTAGCATTCTAGAGGCACAACCATTCGCACGAGAACTCCAAGCGGGGGAGGCTCTACGAAAGTGGGTTCAAAGTCCCCAGCTCTCGGGTGGTCCCCTGCGTAATTTAAGGTATGCGCCACTCAACAAGTTCCCGAAGCCTTCGAATTTCAACATGCAGCTATCCAACTCATCCCAGGCTTCATGACCCGCGACGGTGCTTGCACGGCCTGCACCAGCGCGGCGGGCTGGCTCAGCGTGGAGGGAAAAAGCTGCCGGGAGCTTCCAGCTTCTGGGTGTAGCGACGAGAAGGTGCGCGGTCAGCCCCTTGGCGCGGAGTTGCAGGTGTTTGTGGATGAATGGGGGTACCGGTTCGGGATGCTTTGGATGTTTGGCAAGCATTGTCGGCTTCATTGGACTTGTCGTAGCGCTGTTCTTATCCAATTGTTAGACGTTTGGAGAAGCTTTGCAGAGAATCGGCCCAAAGGTAGATCGCATCTCCCATCGTTGTATTATCGAACCGTTGTCTTCCCTGGCGTTCTAGGTTCGATTCACATGACAACGTTCAGCATGTTTGTTTGTTCTCCTGGGTGGGCTTGCTCAGCGGATAGCTTCATTCCTGCGCACCCGTCAAAAAACCCTAAACCCTAAACCAAGTTTGTTCCTTGTAGCCCCAGCCTGCAATTTTGGTTGTGACGTTTCAGGATTCACAGTCTTGCTTTCTTTTCAGCCCGGCAATTTGGTCCGAACTAGGTGGATGCTGTTTCAAAGAAGGCTGGTGATTGGGCGCTTCACCTCCATAAGTCAAGCTTCCTGAAGGATACTTAGTTGACGCTTGCAGAGCTTGTCGGGCCGAATTCTTAATACGAATAAGTACTACTAATCGTAATAGTACGAAAAGAAGTCATAATGGTAGTAATCACTCAAAAGGGTAATGAACATGATAACGCCCAGAAGGTGGATGTCTAACATGACGTAGGGATTCATCTCGGGGTCCCGACACTTGGACTTCATCTCTTTGGTGTTGGGTATTCAGGACAAGACTCAGGAGAAGTGCTCAGAGGCATTCGCTCGAGACAAAGCTTATGCAAGCGTGGCAGACTTAAGCCTGACTGTCAGTACCATTGACTGCCAGAACCATATCTTGTTTTGCGTGAATAGCCAGCCTTAACGTCCTAACTATGTAATACCGTCGTCTTCCCCTCTCGTAGTGCTGCTTAGAGTTCTGGGCGACATGAGGTCCAGCAATGAGGCTTGCTGCCAGTGCGGTGGCGGCCTGGTCACGCCCACGCCCTTCTCATACCCCAACCGCCGTTGGTCTCTGGACGTGCTTGCTGCTGGGGCTTCGGGCTTGGGAGTTTGGATTTTGGGTCACAGCTACTAGAAATCACACCGGTAGTAGACTGCAAAACCAATCAAGCTTCTGGATGAGTTGAACAGTACATAGCAGCAGAGACCCTACTTCCGCACAGCTTGGTGTTGTGGCATGGTTTGAAACTTGAACCTAGGGCATGGGAAGGAAAGGACGTCACACAAGAAGCAACAGAACATGGAGGTCTTCGGCCCTGCCCCGGCTACACAAGCTCAGCTTTGAGCCCCAACATCCGCAGTCTTTGGATCCTTGACCACAAACCCTCAAGTCCCTCCTGTGCTGCTTAACAGGACTCCAACATTGTGCTGAAGCCAGAGCCCCGAACAGCAGATCGCTACACGGTGGATTCCAAGTGCGAGCTGGCTGTTCACAACTTGACCATTGACCCCGGGCAGTTTTGGAGGGTTTCGTTCTTGGAGCTGGCAGGGGTGGGGCAGCTGAAGAATATTGGGCGCGGTGTTCTTTTCATTGATGGGCCTTTGAGGTTGGGCGTGAAGTGGTGGCATGCAGAAGGCTTCCTAGCCAGGTGAACGTCCAAAGTCCGGCGTTTGTGGGTGGCTTGTGGATGTATCAATGTCCGAACAGCGGCCCGAGGACAGCACAACGGGCGTGATCTCTTATATGCCAGGGCGCGCGAAGCCAAGAGAGGCCAGCGGAGTCTCAGGTGAACAGAGCTTTCAAGAAAAGGATTTCGAGATATTTAATAGGAAAAGGGGAGTCACGTTCTCTTTTCGTAATGCATTCTCAAATACAACATGTACTAAGATATCGTCTAATGTATTATACTACATAATAGGCTGCAAGACACTATAATATAAATATCTGTACTGCTCATGCTCGGAAAGCAGACTGGGCTTCGAATTGGGTTGGCGACAGAGTCCAAGGTGGGCTAGGTTCTGTCTTGGCAGGGATGTTTGCTCGTGTGATAAGTCCCCCGGAAGGCCCAAAGGCCTGCTACCCTAAACCCTATATCCTAAGCCCTACCCCAAACCCTAAGCCGTCAAAACATTCTAGGCGGGTTGCGCATGGATTGTTCTAGGAATCCACTCCCTCGCTGCCCCTGACGCACGAGTACGGCTAGCTTTCAGTGCCTAGACGTTGACCGAAGCTTGCATATCTAGGATTTTGAGGCCAGCGGCCTTAAAGCAAGAGCAGGCCGCGTAGACGTGAAAGTCCGACTGTTGAGGTTTAAGGTCCCCTGGCAGGGTTGTTCTTGAAAGACTGGGTTGTGAGAGATCTTTGTGTACACGCGGGTTTGTTGGTCCTGGCAAAGTTAGGTTCATACTTGGAATGGCTTCTGAGTCCCAACATGGTGGAACTGAGATGACCTTACGTAAGCCTTGGAAAGAACTCATGACGCCATTTACAACCCCAAAAGTTTCTTAAAGTATCAAACCTTAACTCTCAAGCCATGGTAGCCTACAATCCGAAGATCATCCCAAGAGGCCTTCAGCTTCGAGTGCGAGGTCACCTCACACCAAGCGGCAGGAGTTAGCTTGATTGCCACCGGGATTTGCACTGGAGTGTCTAGGGGCCTCCCACATACAATCTTCCCTAGTAAGCCAGCCGTACAAGAAGATCCATTCAAGCTCCTTTAACAATTTGTACTAGGTAATCCTTGTGGCCGCCATACGGAGGCTTTAAGTCACAAACATTCTCAACTCATAGTCGTTCCACAAATCCCAAGAAGCGGGCGCTCGCGGGGGGGGGGGGTTACTGCCCGCCACTACTGCTGCTTTGGTGCTACTGGTACAGCTCACCCCTTCAGCTCACTTCAGTGTAAGCGACTCTGCTCTGAGAATTGTATATGCAACCCTTCGAACCTTACCCCACAGATGCGGGAGGTTCTTGCATATCACAAAAAGTATACATATATAGATATATATATATTATAAGGCCCATCATTAGGACCCTCGAACAAAAGAACCCTGATTTTCGGAAACTCCCGTATGGGGTCCTGCATGCTGTAGTTAAATTGAGAGCCTCCCTTGCTTATTAAACCTGGCGGATACGAAGCCAACGTCCGCGTCCTACTTCGGAGGAATGGATCCCTAGCTAGTCCCCATAAATTTCCAAACTTCTCCACTCCTCTGTACAGAATAAGCGAGTAAGGCTGTAAGCTGCCGACTCCAAGACCGATGGTTTGAAACTTCAAGGCTCAGAAACCCAAGCTACACCAGCTGATTTCTTGGCCCTGCCTGAAACAAGAATTACAAATTTGTATCCCTGCATATGGAGGTCGAGGGTTTCGCAAGCTGCTTCGTAAGCCCAGGCGACTGTGACGGTGGCCGCCGATGTGGTGAGTTACAGCTCCGCCACGCTGCTCTTCCACAAAGGCTCTGGGCTCGGCTCCAGTCCAAAGGGGGGGAAGTGGTCCATGGGAATTTCCCCAAATCTGAGGCTTTGCGGTTTTTTGGGGTGGTTAATGTAGAGACTCTGGGCCGCTCACTTGAAACAGCCTTCAAATCCTGAATCCAGAAAACTCTAGATGTCCTCAAAACCTAAGCGCCAAAAATCGGAAGCCCCCTGAAGTGCCACTCAAGCCGCCCCGAACTCTTCCACCAAATGCGCATTCGAGACCCTCAACCGTGGAGCTTCTCAGGCCCATGGCCCGTGATGGCCTTGGCTTAAAATCCATCCAGCAAGCACAGGCTTCCTTTGAGAGCCGTTTTGGAGCAGGTTCTTGTTTCAAAGGCATCTTGCAATAGCCGGAAAGCTGGAACAGGAGACTCCTTTGGGCACGTGGGGTTATTGCCGTGACTCGCAGGTCGCAAAACCTCAGATGTCCAGGTCGTTTCTGGTGTTGCAACTCCGCGCACCCTTTGGGGTTTAGGACCTTATCAGACCTGGTTCCTCAAGTGGGAGGTACTCAGGAGGCGCCTTTGCTCACGGGCGCGAACTGGTCAGATTTCGAACTGGGGTGCGCCCCCGAGGCACAGAAGGGCTTGGAATGCATGATGTCCTGTCCACATGAAGCTTCAGCAATTCTGCAAAAGCAGCTGGCACTCAGTCACGGGTTTGTGGGAGGCTTCCAAGGCAGTTTCCCTAGCTTGGCTCGTAGGAACTCGGGGAGTTGTCATACAGTGCCTTTGGGTTGATTCTCCCGGGATCCTAGAGGAGACCCGAGTCGAAGGGGCAGGCAATTAGCCAGCAAGAGCAAACGTTTTGGTCGAACTTGCGCAACAGCTGAGTATTCAAATAATAGTAGTAGTAGTAGTAGTAGTAGTCGTCGTCGTCGTCGTCGTCGTCGTCGTCGTCGTCGTCGTAGCAGCAATAGTAGTAATCATAGCAATGATAACCATACCTATAGTAATAACAAACCATGGGACTTCTTCTGGAAGATGGGAATGCGAAGCAAGCAGCTGGGTGACAGTTGTGAGTCTGCATTCGCAATCCCCATCTCCTTACTCAAAGCCAGTAATCTCAGCAGGTAGATTGTAGGTTCGCGGATGCTTATCCCCTGGCGCGTCATCTACTGCCTGGCTTCCCTGAGCCCCTGAACAAGATCTCCTGTTGTCGAGAGATCCTAAACCTTAGAGCCTAAACCCCAGATCAAACAAAAAAACAAAGAAAAACAGGTTGCTTGGCTCGCCATCGACAAGGCCAGTGGCGTCCTCCGCTACGTGGATGGCGCTGGGGGAGGCGTCTCGGTGGCTGATGACAAGTTCTTCGGCCAGGACGCGGATGCCGCTGGGGTTCAGGGTTTAAGGTTGAAGGTTTTGGGTGAAAAAATCTTAATGTGCGATGGGACAATCGTGTGCCACCGGCCTTGCAGATCAGACTTTTCTTGCAGACGCGGCGAAGGATGGAGCTGTCTGCGGTGTCACAGCCATGCAGAACAACCACAAGTGCTTTGACTGATTTTTGTCTCAGAGGTCATGGTGCAGGCCCTTGCCTCCAGTTGAGGGTTTGCGGGTCTCAGTTTTTCCGGACATCAAGTGTGCTTTGAGACCCCTCGGTTGTGCATGAAAATGATGAGGCAGCTAAAATCTTTGTAACAACTTTTAGCTCCCCGACGAAAGTCAACCCTCACTGTCGCTATCTCAGACTTGCTTTTCGAACAACTGAAACCTGGAATCTTCGACCCTCTGCGTGAACTGTTCCCGTGACCTCAACTGCCTAACACATGAAACTGTAGGTAAGAGGGATAGCACGGCCTAAAGGCCGTCTCTCAGGGAAACCAACCCTTCAACAAGGGAGTCCGCAAGCCAGGCATCAAGTGTCTTTGGTCGCAATTCGGCCCCGCCCGTGGTCCTCCCTGGAGCATCTTGGAGCATGAGGCCTATCTAGACCTCCCAGATACCCGCAATAGTTGCCTTTAAGCTAGAGTAACAGGATATGATAGGTTTAAAGCCTTTGCCTATGGGTATTTAGCAGGTCTAGGTGTTTACCTGAAATTCTAGATTTGAGTTCTGATGGCGAATATAAGGATCTATGTTAGGACATCTTGTTTTCAGTACACAGGCTTCTGGAGTACATCTTGCTTTGCTGTCATCCCTGTTCTCTTAGCCCTCCGGCCCAAATTTTCAGCCTTCGGCATCTGCCAGCTGCTTCCGAAGGTATGACCTGGGTGTTGTCGCCGTGACCATCGGAGAGGAGTTGCACCCGCTGGCGCCGAAGCCCCACAAGGAGCAAGGCGCAGCGATTTACACCGGCATTCCTTAGCTTGCCAACTAAGCCCTGACCAACGGCAGGCGTGATGAAGCCATGGCAACCCGGCGAGAAGGTCTCCTCTTTTCGAGCCCGCATTTTGTTTCTTCGCGTCATGGGGGGGCGGCGTTGAAGGCCTACATTATAGTTTCCACGGATCGGGTCTTCTTCTCAGGACGCCCCAATTGTTAGGGAGAGCTGTTTGTTCTTTTGCCCGTTGAAACAAGATGGACTGTAAAGGCAAGTCTACAATAATACAGATGACCCTCATTCAAAAGGATTAACAAGAAGTTTTTTTTTGAAGGTACAAGTATTGCCTTGCGGCATTCGCCGGCCCGCGTAAGACAAAGAAACCATGACAGACCGTGGCCGCCTGAGCCCCAAACAGTCCCAAATACGTTAAACATCCCTTTCTCGCCCTATGTGTAAATATCCCTATATAATCCCCATGCAATCCAAAAAGATCCTATATGAGCCATAATCTAAAATCCTAAAGGGGGCTTTATAGTGCATCATATAGGGGACTACTATAGGGGCTATTAATGGGGAGGCTAGGAGTTTAGAAGATAGCTCATATGGCGCCTATATAATCCTATATAACTCCTACAACCCCACTAACTTGATCCCACCTTAAAATTTCGACAAAGACATCGACCGCGGCCCGACGATTCCAGAGCATGAGAGTTTCTCACTATGGAAACCCTGGAGGATTCAGGGTTCCGAATACCCTCAAGAGGGACTGTCAAGTCCTTATATGATCCTCAGATGTCTTTGTGTACCCCTAGCTTGAGAAGACCCTAAACGCCCACACGGAGAAGCCTAAGGACCTACAACATGGACTGCGACGTCAGTGGCGCCAGCAATCAGACCCATTTCACGTTCGACCGGGTTCTCAGCATGGGCCTTTCGATGGCTTTTGATGGGTTTAGGGGTTGATCAAAGCATTGCAGGAATTTCGAGGATTCAGGCACAATGTATTGGAACTCAAGTGTAGGGATTCAAGCTGGTTCAAACTACCTCGGCCTTACTTTCAAGATCTGTGATCTGCTATTGAAATTCATATCTCGGCTCAGATTCTAATCACATCAGTTGGCGTGGTCAGTACCTGCCCCAGGCAGGGAGTCATGATAACCATTATATTAATTATAGTAATGATGGCAATAATAGCAATTGTAACAGCCGTCGAAATAATTGCAGTAATCATAGCAATAATAAGTAATAGCAACAACAAAGGTAGCAATAACAATAGTAGTACAAAGAGTGGTAACAATAATAACAGGAGCAATGATACTGCTGTCGGATTTCGTGCAACCAGGGTTCAGGTGTGGTCAAGTTTTCTGCGAGCCCTCCGTCTTCGAATGCTTCCTTAGGCAGTCCGGAAATCAAAGGCTCAATGTCTGGCGCAGCGCGCCAAACTGTTCCTCCAACAGATTGAAGTAGCCCGCAAGCCCCCCGAAGACTGGGGACTTGGTACGTAGCCTGGCGCGCAAGGGATTTTTTGGACCTAGAAGCAAAAAAGTTCTGTTGTTCTGAATAGGACAAAGGCAAAATCCACGAAACGCCCCGAAAGGGCTCCTATCTGGGCACCCCGTGCTGGACATCACGTCGGAGGGGGAGATCACGGTGGCTCCCTCCCCCACCCTTGGCCTCTTGCCTTGCAACTCTTTAGGTTTGCTGGGGTAGCAGGCATGGAGCATAGGGGAATTTCTCAACATGTGGAGACTACCAGAAAGCCACGCCTCAATGATCTCGATCTGGAGCGGTGAATGAGGAGGCTCTCTGTCGGATCCATGTTGTGAGCTTTAGAAGTTGGGTCATGTGTAGAGCTCACCTCAGATATCAGCGTGTTGATGTACGCTGTCGTCTTGGGTGACAGGGTTTCAGGCTCAGGGCTTGGGGCAATAGATATGCCTACGGCTTCAGCCCGAATCGTGCAAATGGATGTGTGAGTGGCTTTAGAGAGAGCCAGTCTAAAAGCTCAAGAACTGGGGAGGGGCTGCCTGGGGTGAACCTCGAGCTCAGGAACTTTGTAAGTGAAAAATGTGGAGTCAGATCCCTAGGATATCTTAGATTTGAGGCTCAGTCTTTGATGCTGCGCCTTCGACGGGATCGGAAAGAAAGGCCTTGCAAATCCTGCAGGGTTTTGGGTTCAGAGATCATTTGGGCTTAGGGTCGTTGCCAATCTTGTTGTTTTTGCAGATGGTCGTGCTTGTTGTAGAGCTGTTGAGCCTAGTGGTCTTGTCTTGTGCAGTGCCATCTGGGTTGTGACTTTTTGTGTGAAGCTTGTACGTTTGTATGGGGCGCTTAAAGCCTCTCTCTGTTTGTGGCTATAATTTGTGGAAAGCCTTCAATTTGTGTGTGATTCTGGAATGTAATCCCGTCACGGCTCTGGATAGAAAAAGTGTGGGGTCGCTGCCATGTAGGATTCGGTGCTGCGGACGCGAATCTTGTCATAGGAGGTTCAGCTCTGGGTGTCTTTGTTTCCAGAAGCCTCGGGATTAGTGCAGGCCATCACTCTGGCTTGCCGCGTTTTCGGTATCTTTCCCGACATGAGCCTCGCTCCAGCCTTCTGGATGCATCTCGGGTTTGGGGGTGCAGGCAGTGAGGGTTTGACGGGGTCCGGGGCAGAAGGTGTGGTGCTCGCCGGTTCAACTTGTTGTAATGCCTTCCGGGATCGATGCGAGCAGCAGTATTCCTTGATCAGTAAGCTCGTGAATCCCATCTATGCCACCAAGGATGTATGATTACTGTCAGGCTTTTGGCGATACGCTGCGGCAAGTGACAAAGGCGCGAGTATCCTCCAGCTTGAAGGCAGCTTAAGCCAAACTCAGGTGTAGATCCAGCAGACGCACAAACATCCTGAGCCTGTCAGAGCAAGGGATTACATTACTATTCCGACCGAAGTCTACGACCTTGCCACTGTAATTCCTAAGTGCGTAGAAACAAGTTTTGCGACATACTGTACTTTCTGTGTAGGAGGGTTATGAGGAGCATTTTTGTTTATTCATTCTTGTGGCTTCTACATTGCCCTGCCATCCCCAAGCCAAGGTTGAAACACAGTTAACCATCGAAGTGCAAGACACGGTGTGCTGGGTTCCGCAGACAGTCAAGGCATGGGCAAGGGGGCATCGGCTGAATACATCGGGACTTAGGGCATATAGGGTAGTTGTACAGGGTATATATGGGGGTTGTACAGGGAGTCTATCGGGATTTGCAGGTTGCAGGTTTTGAGTGTTGGTTGCTTTGAATGCCGCAGAGCCTAGGCTCAGATGGCAACCTTGTTTGCATGCCGGGAGGGTTCTTGTTTGGTTCAGGTCTGCGGAGTATGTTTCAATGTTGTAGGAGAGTAGGTCTCGGACTTCAAATTGACTGCTCAAGATTCAGAAGCCTGAGATTGCAGACCCGCTTGGCCTTCCAGCAAATGCTTCAGAGGCTTGAGAATGAATCGCTATTTTGGTGTGCCCTCATACTCAGCGAGTTGTTGCTGGCTTTTGACAGACATGTACCTAGTTGGAGCAAAGAGTTCAACACCTGTTCAGACATGTTGCAGCTCTACTGTTTCAGGCTCTTCGGGCAGTGTCTTCCTGTCAGTCCTCAGGATATGAGGTTTTCGACTCTGCAAAAAGTTTCAGAGAGTCAATCAAGTCTGGGCTGGGGAATTCCACTGTCATCCCAACACATCCCACCTTGGACTCTTCTCGGATGCAGTGGAACCTGAGCCCTTCGCTTGAGAAGCTGGGTCTCCGGTCCCAACTTCCAACATTCGTTGTTCGACATGATACCAACTCTGACACTACCGAATTATTCTCACCTGTGAGGCGGTGGCGGTGGTGGATGCCATTGCCACTTCTGAGGCGCGAATGATGAAGCGCACACTCTACCAGTCACCAAAAGGTTCAGGGGTCAAGCACAGGTTTGGGCTTGCTGTGAGGCAGGTTGAGGGTTGAGAAAACAAGGTTTAGGTTGAAATAATGAGAGGACGGTATAGCACACTTCTGGAAAGGATGCTCCTTAGTGTTCCGTAAACCGTACAGGAAGTGTTCAAATCCACGCCCTGTGAGAGGTGCCACAGCATGCACATCCCACAAGAGCTCAGATAACCTTTTGCTGCAGTGCCCTGTGCCTTTTTGCCTCTCACTTCGTGCTCTCCTTGTCGCCTGCCCTTAGCGTAGCAACTCCCTCCCTGCCTTCCTTGCGTGACATGGGCGCCTACAAGCTAGAAACGGAAGCCCCAGACCTAAGGACCCAGGGTCAGGGGCTTGCCAGTCATGGCTGGGCTTTGCCTCCAAAGCCTCTAGTCCTGTTTGAGTTATCATAATACAGTAAGATCGCCATATACCCCGTATCTTATCTACTCAAGGGGGACTATAAGCTTAGAAACCCCATGCCTTTGCGAGGCACAGTGCCGCGCACGCTGCCGTGCAGACGAAACCTGCGCTAATTACAAGTTCGACGCCAAGTGCCAGAGGCGCACGCTCCCTCCCTGTCTCCCTCATGTAGCTATAGTCTAAACTCCTTAAAAAGGGGGTTACATAAAGGACAATATAGGGGACCATGACAGGGGCTGTAAATGGGGATGCCAGGAGTTTAGGCAATGGCTCATTCGTTTCCTTCGCTGCTTTAACTCTTCAATATTCTTTCACCCCTTCATTGGCTCACTCGCTCTCTTCCTCCCTCCTCTGTGACTTTCGCTATGACTCGCTGATCCTTTACAGCCTTTTGTAACAAGGCTTCTTGTTTTCGTCACAGAAATTGCCCTTTCCGTTCAATGTCCATCGTGTAGGAGTCTTTGATATCTTCTAGTAGGAAGGGATGAGCTGAATCGTTCATAGGGGTAAAGAGCTTGTCAGCTACCGTCATGCTCGCTCCTGCCAGGTTCGACGTGCAGTCGGATGGCCAGCCCGTATCCGTTTTGGCTAAGGTCACCAATTGCACCAACGAGGGGACATGCAGCTTTGCATTGAACCGAGGAATGTGCAGGATGTTACGCTTGCAGCAGCAGCCTGACCGTGCTTTTCACCAATAATTAGTACAGCATACATCAAGTTGAAGACCCAGACCAGATGCCTGGAGATCTGCAAATCCCGTCAAGGCAAATCATTCTCGTCCCTTAGAATCCTTCTGCAGCCTAAAGCTTACAGTGCCCAGAAGCTCATCCTGACTCATCACGCTCTTCCTGGCCAAGGCCTGGAATTCAGATCCTGAACGCATGTTTCCTAATAGCTTTGCCGCTACTACCTTGCCCCAGGCTCCGAGAATTCTGCACAATTCAATTCCTCATCACAAAGTGGAGTGATAAATCAGCATGAAGATGACATTCAAAAAAACCTGAAGCTGAGGCATGGAAGTCTCCGACTCCAAGTGGTTCCTGGCGGGCACGCATCTGGGTTGTTGTCAGGAAATTACATGAATTTGTTTCATAGGTACGTAGCCGTGAAACGGATACCAATATACTAAATACACTACTTTCTTCTCTGTGAATGCAAGTTACTTTCGGTTCCTTAGCAGCAACCCAGGTATTGCCCCCTCGGACGGGATGTTGCCAAAGGCGGCATCGTGTATCTCCGAGAGCATGCCACGACGCAGGAGCCTGGGCTGCAACCAAGAGACCTTCTAGGGCTTATACAGGGATTCGGTAGGGTTATGTGAGGTAATATAAGGGCTATATTGGGATATAAATCCCCACCGAAGTATTGGAGAAGCAGGAATTGTAGAGATAGTCAGTGATTTTGGGGGATCAGGGTTTCCAAAATTAGGGGTACCATTTTGCGATTCCCATCAGAAGAGTTCGAGTATTTGGGTGCTTATATTTCGTTCCTTGTCTGAGAAATTTCCAGGTGGGCATGCGAAACAACTCGGGGCCCATTTTTGGCGTTACCTGGTTACCTATGATCGGAATACATTGGATTGGGAGATATAGTATAAGAGGTCCCCCAATTTATGGAAACTCCCATATTATCCTAAGACGAAGCTCTACGCCCGCTACCGTGTTATGGCCTCCACGCCTTAGGATGTGTTCTACCTGCGCGGGGCGCAGCAAGGAGACGGATGTGGTGATGGAGAGTGGGCCATACTTGCCCCCTCGGCTCGCGACTTTATTGACAAGGCCGCCCTTTGAATACAAGTCCGAAGCAGCCGCTCAGAGTGTAACTTGATGCCAACAAACGAAACAAACTTAGAGTCCTGTGATGCTCGAGCTTCAAGCCTATCACGACCAGATTCTGTTTTACTGCCCAAAGTGCATGCTAGTGAAACTTCCTTGAAAACTTGGATCCTTGCAAAGTTAATGCTTGCTTTTTGGGGCCTACTGTTCAAAACGTGCAGGCCTTGGGCATCTTCGAACTGCGTGGGACCAAGAGCGAGTGCGTTCCTGCCGCCTCCGTCCACCAAGCTGTGCAACAATGTTCCACAAAGGAGCCCTGCCTTATACAGAAGCTTGAAGATGTACCAATACTTGTGCCTTCATGTGTTTTGACTTTCTATCTACTACACAAACACATTTTCACATCCTTATGCTGACCTCGCAGGCCAGCGCTTGGTAGACGATGTGTTTAATCCAGCCAAAAGAGGCTTTGATCCGCTTAGCGAGTGCAATTCGTCGTGGGTCCCAAGAGAGTTCCTTGAGTCAAGTACATGTGTCGCACCGGGGACCTTGGGAAGAATTTTCCGAATTAGCACACCTTCAATTTAGGTGCCCAGTGGCTCAAGTGACCTTGACATACAGCAGCAGCCATGCCATCAGGAACGCAGAGGTCACCGCTTCAACGGGAACCTGTAGCAATCTTTGATCTTAGACATTAGGGTTTTGCATGAGCATTTGATTCTCAACTGTTTTGTCAGGTGCTGAAATTCGTGGAAGAGCAGGCTGTGACCACATTTTGGGTTTTGAAGCTTGGGGTTGGGCTTGAATCCATGGCCTATTGCATGGTGACCTGCAGGGCTGCAATGTTTCAACTGAAAAGCTCTAGAAAGGCAAGGAGCAAAGGCATAGCGCTTGCGTGCTTCAGGGAGTCTGAATCAATGCTTTGGGCCGAAGATGTGGACAGTTAAAGGATGCTGTCTGACTGCAGCTCTTCGAATCCCTAGCAAAGTGTCAACTCTTTCGTGAATCCGAGTGTTCATGCGTATATCTAGGCAACGCCAGAAGCAGCTTTATCGAGTGTAAAACCAGCCCATGCTGGGCTAGCTCTAGTCAAAGAGAAGGACACAATATCCCCCATAAAAGTCTTAACTGTCATTCAAATCCCGAGAAGCCCCCCTGGAAGTTGCCCGATCCGAGAAATTATTCCTGATGGTTACTAGGGAGTATGCGAAAAATCCTGACCATGTCACCCTTGGTCCCTACGAACTCCAGCAAGAAAAGGGGTGTGGAATTCTCGACGCAGGAGGAGGACAAAGAAGGTCAAGTCGCCCTCATCCTGGATGACCCAGGGACGGCCGAACCTGCAGACTTTTGGCTCCACCCTTGCGATTGTACCCTGCCAGCAGCAATTCTGTAGCCTGCACAACTGAAAGCGTCAGGGCACAATATGCTGTAAATTAGTATATGTAAGGTTTGTCAGAAAAGTTGTCAATTGTTCTGGCTTCTCCGTTGGAGCATCCTTGTCCGGCCTAGAATTGGAGCGTTAGAAATACTCATGCAGGTCGATCTACGCAGAAGCATTGTGGCGACAGGGCTGTGCATAATTCTGCACGTATGGAGATGGGTAGTGTAGGGATTGTAATGGAGCAGTGCTACTTGTTCCGTTTGTACCAGTAGTATTTTTTGGTTAGCTGCCGTCTGGTGTCTTTAAGATGTCGGGGGTTACTGGGTTCGTAATGACACCCCATTTCCTGGTTCGAGGGCTGGTGATTCGGCACCTGGGTCGCGTGCGCTGCTCTGCCTAAACCATTCATCCCAACACCCAAAACGCTGTACCCCAACCTCTGTCCTGAACCTCTGCCTGGAGAAGCACTTTGCCTAAAGACATCAATGCTCCTGCTACATATCCAGAGATGCGACGAGAGGTTTCTGAAGCAATGCATAAAAAAGAGTAGGGGCTCGAGGAAACATTTGAGGAGCACAGCTCACTGTGCATTTCACGACATCCTTTCATCACGCTGTCCATCCTAGGTGCCCCGACCGCTTGGGGTGCAGAGTTGCCTGTGGACATCCAGCTGCAGTGCGAAAGCTTTCGGGGGTAATGGAGGGAACCCTTTGCACGTACAGATTTCGCCAAAGCCCAAGCATGTCACGTTTGGCTAGTCCTGCAGAGTGGGAACCTGAAAGTCGACATGGGAGGTTATTGAGATTCAGGTGTGGGGTTATGGTGGTAATTCCAAGGCGAAAAGCTGGAAGGCTTGAGATGTCAAGGCTCATAGGCTGGGCTTGGGACAGGCACTGTGTCATGAGGGTTTGCGAGGCTTCGGAGATGTTGGGGTGCTGATGGAGATTGATGGAGCCCCTGTACCCGCTGCTAGCGCTCACCAGTTGCCAACGACACCTGGGCCGCCCACCTCCTGAAAAGCTAGGCTCCGCTTTTTCCCGCAGATTTCAATATAGAGTACTCCCCAAATCCGAAGCTGCAACATAGCTAAGGATCCTAACATGTTCGAGCACCTGCCGGCAATTTGGTGGCAGAGTTGTCTAGAGCCGGTGCAGCAGAGTCACTGACCCATTCTGGGTCTCTCGTTGGCTGAGGTCTGCTCCCGTCCCATAAACTGATTTGGGCTGTACGTTGTTGCTACTAGAGGTCTAAGCAAAAAATCAAAGGTTGTTCATGTGTTGTGGCGGGCGTGGTTCAGCCTCGAGCGTCCAGTGATGGCAGTTAACCTTGTGTTCTCTTCCCACTTCTAGTCTGCCGTCATCTAAGCCCGCAAAGCTTTAGCCTCCAACACGCGCCTTGCATTTCCTTGTGTTTGCTCCCAGCTTGCTTGGACGGCGTCTATGAAGAATTAGCTATGAAGCAACGAAAGCCAGGGGAAGATTCAGGTCTTGAGGGTCAAGGGCCTAGGAGAAGGCCGCACATTACCTAGACCTGAATGCAAGTATCCCCAATTTCTTTGTAGATACCAGTACAAACTGGAGATGATTGGGCACGTGCCGTTTGCGGGCTTGAGCTCACAGAAGGTAGAGCATGAGTTTCAGGGTCTTCTAGGAAAAGCGGGGCGTTGCTATGAGCAGCTTCAAGTAAGCCTGCCATCATCCGATTCAGGGACAGTGGGAAGCTGGGAGCATGCAAGTCTGGGTTCTAGGATTTGGAGCTGAGTGACATGAGTGCTCAACCTCCAAGCAAGATTCCCAGGCGAACAGCAGCAACAAGTTCATTCCAACACCATATGATATCGTCACCGGCCAGCTGACGTGCCCGTCAAGACAGCTCATCGAAGGCGGCAGACCTGCTTCACTTTGCGTGGTCAGACTTATGCAGGGCTTGCAAAGATGAGCTTACGCGAAATATGGTTCCCCCAAAATTGAGGGGTCCCTATAATAAGGATGATAGTATATAGGGTCTATCTTGGGGTCCGGGAATTACCCTTTGGTGCCAAGTTTGGGAGGAAGGGTCGTCGTGTCCCCTGTGATGCCAAGCTTGCCACGTTGCTTGTAAAGCGAGAAGCAAGTGAAAAAGCAAAAGGAAAATGATATGGAAACTACGGTTTAGGGTTTAGGGTTTGGAAGGCGTTACCTACCGTTTCTGACGGTGTTTCCAGCCTACACGGCTTCAAAACTTCCATGGGACTTTGGAGATTACATTCCACCAGTTCTGACCTTCAATCCTAGACCGCTAGAAGACTTGAGGCTCATTCGCAAAATATCCCATCGAGCCCAACAAAGCCAATGTCTGTATTCGCAGATGCGAGGCGTTCAAGTTTTAAGCGGCCTCCCATCCTAGACTCCCAGCGGCATCCTCGGAGCTTCCCTGAAACTTGTACTTGCCAGGAGTGGGCATCCACTTCCAGTCAGAGGAAGAGGCCGGCAGATCGTCTTGGGGTTTTGGGTTGCAAGCTGTTTCTGGGCTTGGCTGTGCCTTTGGCTTACCGAGGGCTTACTGTTGCTTAAGGGAGAGGGGTGGAGTGGGACGACCTTTGAAAGTCAAACCCTTCTCATCCCGTGTTCAACCTCCACGTAGCGTTGACTGCAGGCTTCAAAATCCCAGGATCTCCTAGCCAACAATGGACTTGAGACTACTGCGGTTCTGTCACATCATGATTGTAGAAATGCCCTGCCCATTATTTCCTACTTCGTGGTATCCCTCCCGTTGTACCATGCTTCTCCATGAAAGGTGCTGGAGCCCTCAGACTGTGAAGCACGCTGCCGCGAAGAGTCCACATGCACGTTCTTCTGGCACCTTACCTCAGTTTCTCCCAACGCCTGGTGCTTCTGAAAGGAATAGGTTCTTGGGATTGCGATGGGAAGCACTACTAGGCGAAGTGCTGTGATTGTATAGTGGTCCTCCCGTGTTATCAAACTACTTGTTGAGCACCGTCAGGAAAATTATGTAGGGTTTGGGCAGCAAGTTCGTGGTTTTGAGAAGCATGAGCTTGGTAAAAGTTCTTGCTTTGGGAGATACAGACGTGCCTAGTCCTATACATTCGAAGTTGCCTGGACGATCTGAATTCTTTTGGCAGCTGTCCAGCCCAAATCAGCATCCACTAAACCAGGAAATGGAGGAATATTGATCCATGGGGTATAGGGATTGCATGCATTGCCTCCTTCCCTTAACAGCCAGCAAGCTCAGGACGGGCTCCCAGCATGGTGCTGCCACGTGCCGACTCTTCACTGGCTGTGACAATCTGGTCCGTGAGTTCAGCCTTGAGGGCTCTCTGAAGGCCTGCAGGTCAAGGGCTTCGTAAGCAGGCTTGCGGCTCAGGTCTGACTTAGACTGTATGAGCCTACTTAGCGATCAATATCGTTGAAGATGTTTGACATGTGGTCCTTCGAAGAACCTGTATTTGTGGTCATGGTTTTGGCTCTGGATGGTTATCCTGACATCGCCCACCCATTCAGCCCATTAGGCCATGCCACGAGAGAGCAGCTGCGCGGTGGCAGATGCCAACAAGTGTTGGGCCACCACCCTACGCAGGAGAGGGATCGCTTGCTTGCAGACTTGAGCGTTTACAAAATCAATGCGCCCTGACATAGAACCCAACAGAAAAGAATCCTTAACATGAGGTCCTTTTAAAGGAAGTCCCTTTATCTACCAAAGCTGGCAGTTGGGGCCTTGATTTGGGGCTCAGCGCCAGACTTCTGTAGCTGGCAATTTGTGATGAGTTGCCCTTATTGCTTGATACAAGGACCTATGCATGAATAATCTTCGGGGCTTGCACGGTACCACTTGATCGTACTTGCTGAGTTTAAGACTAGATTGCCCAGGATGACGCTCACCACCCCCAGTTGGTTTGGAAGTTATTGATGGCTTAGCACAAACATGCCAAGAGGTGTGCATGAGATGTAGTGTGTGTTTGTTTGTCTGTCTCTGTGTGTGTGTGTGTGTTTGTATCTGATGCATTCACACACCGTTTGCGTATGTAGAGATCACCATTACATATATGTGAACGAATGAACGTTCGGTGCCTGTCATCTTGGGTGGATGTTTTCGCAGCCAGTACAGTCGCAGATCTCATGGAGCCCCCAACCCTTGCAGCACCTCAACCCTCCTGCTCCTGAGCCCCCGAACCCTGACATAGGAGCTTCCTGACCATGGCCTTCAACCCGAACGGTGCGGCAGACACTGTCAAAGCTGGCACTAGCCTGAACCTGCCACCCAAACCTGCTGATCCTACGTCGGAGGCCTGTTTAAGCAGGTGCTTGAGAGATGGCTGTTGAGCGCAGACTCAGGGCATTGCTCGGTTGCACATTAATTTGGGGTTTCATCTTGTGAAAGAGAGGCCATGGCGCTGAAGATATATAAATCCTGAATACGATGTAGCGCCGGTGCTCCTGGGCGCCTGCAGGGCTGAGTGGACATTGATAGATCAGAGATGATGCAGTTTGCAACCCTGCAGGGCATGGTGGCCTGGTTCAAGAGCGAGAACGCTGGCTCCCTTTGGGCAAGCGAAGTGGGAGACTTTGTTGGGAGGTCCGTGGCGAACTCGGTGTACCGCAGAGTTGAAGGAGGCTATGGCGCAGACCGCCCTGTGACGTACCTCTATGGAGGCAATGGTGCGAAATACGACTTCGGCTTAGTTCTGAAGCCGACCTTCACGCTCTGCTCAGTCACTCGTTACGTAGGTGGCCGGCGCCAGAGAATTCTCCAGTCCAGGGTCAACTTCTTGCATGGCCATTGGATAAACAGAGTGGGTGTTGCGTTCTACAACGGCAAATGGGCCACCAAACACGACATTCAGTACAACACCGAAGATTGGCTGGTGATGTGTGGAACCAATGGGGCACAGAGAGTCATCAGCGACATGTCCAACTCAACCAACATTGCCACATCTCAGGGCAACAAGTTGAGCAAGGACGAGCCACTGTATATCAACAAAGGAATCGACAACGACAATTCGGATTTCGGTGTCATGGAAGTCCTCACCTGGGACCGCGCACTCTCAGAGGATGAAATGAAGGTCAGCATCGATTACTTGAAATGGAAGCTGAGGACAGGGGCTGTTTCTGGGTTGCTGTTAAGGATATAATGGGTATATGATTTCCCCAAACATTTCGTTCCTTAACAACAACCCAGGTTTTGGAGACCAATGAGCACCTCTCTCGCTTTCACGAGAATAACTTCTACTCCTTCGGAGAGCAAGACCTGAGCGGTGTCCAAGACCAGACATTTCAGGCCAACCTGGCTAATGGCTATACAGCTGAGATGACGGGCTGGACGCACACCAGAACGTATGGGCATGGATTCCTTAGAAACCAAGCTGGCCCTGCAACAGTTGTCGTGAAGGGCTTGACAGCCTCAGCGAAGTACCTCTATGAGTTGTCCATGGTTAGTACGCTCTCCAGCCATGCTGGGCAGTGCAAGGTCTCCGTGAACCATGGGCCAGAGTCGCATGCGAGATCCGGAAACTGGATTGTTCCAAGGCTGTCCGGCGTGACCACTGCAAACCCTCGAGGCGAGATCACCTTTGAGTTCCAGAAAATCGCGCATCACGTATACATTTCAGGCATCGCAATTGCGGCAGTTACTGATGCTCCCTCCACTCCGCCCAAGCCCTCGGATCCACCAGCCGAGGCGGGCCTAGTGTTGTTTATCGGGGTTCATTTCTGACGAAAACAGCTTCTTTTGTCTTTTTCGTAACCCTGCAGGGCATGGTAGCATGGTTCAAGAGCGAGAACGCTGGCTCCCTTTGGCCGAGCGAAGTGGGAGACTTCGAAGGCAAGTCCGACGAGAACTCGGTCTACCGCAGGGTCGCCGGATGCTATGGTGCAGACCGCCCTGTGACGTACCTCTATGGAGGCAGCGGCGCAAGGTTTAACTTCGGAAAGGTTCTGAAGCCAACCTTTACCATCTGCTCTGTCAGCCGCTACCATGGTGACAAGCGTCTCCGAATTCTCCAGTCAAACAAAGGCCTCAACCTGTTGCACGGCCATTGGTCAGGCAAAGCGGGAGTTGCGCACTACTCGAAGTGGGTTACCAAGCACAACGCGGAGACCAGCGACGAGGATTGGGTTGTGATGTGCGGAAGTAATGGCGCACAGAGAGTCTACAGCGGCATGGCTAACTCGACCAACATTGCCACAGCTGTGGGCAAGCAGCTCACAAAGGATGAGCCTCTGTACATCAACAAAGGCTTCAATGATGAGGTTTCGGAGTTTGGAGTCATGGAAGTGATCACCTGGGACCGCGCACTCTCGGATGAGGAGATGGTGGCCAGCATGGACTACCTGAAGTGGAAGCTGAAGGCCGGGGCTGTCTTGGAGAGGTCCGAGCACATGTCCCGCGAGTACGAGAACAACTTCGCATTTTACGGCGACCAGAACCTGAACCATGTGAAGGATCAGACCTTCAATGTGAACCTGGCCAACGGCTACACGGCAGAGTTGTCAGGCTGGACTCATACCCGGGACCACTGCCACGGCTTCCTGAGGAACGAAGCTGGTAAGGCCACGGCAATGGTCAAAGGCTTGACCGCAGCGGCAACTTACCTCTATGAGTTGGACTTGTACTCAACAAAACCTGATTGGGTTGGACAGTGCAAGATCTCTGTGAACCATGGGCCTGAGACGCGGGGCAGGTCTTCGTCCTGGCAAGTTCCCAGGCTCTCGGGCGTGACCAAGGCAAACCCCCGTGGAGAGATCATCTTCGAGTTCGAGCGCATCTCGCACCACGTCTACATCTCGGGCATCCACATTGCAAAGGTTGCACAGGGCTCATCTTTGCTGCAAACTTCTTCCGAGACGGGATCGGACAAGTCAGGTGCAAGCGCCGTCAGCAGTGGCTTCTATTTCATGCATCTCTACCAGCAGTGTGACAAAGCTGCACTTCAGGAGTTGGCGTGATTCTGGGACCATGTTGCTTTCAACAGAGCTTGTGCTTTCAACCTCTTGGGTGCAGCAGCCTCTTCTCAGACAGGGCACTTAGCAAGAATTGGTTCAAACTGAGATGACCACTAGCGATGCCAATTGTGATGGCAATCGTACACTCAGCACGAATGACAGAGCGCGTGATCCTACTCCTAAAACCCTGAATCCTAAGCAGCGTGTGAAGCTATAAATGTGTCAGACCAATCATGCTTGCAGCCTCAATCCTCCCACTTTGCATGGCAAATCATGGCAAGCACCACCTTGAACTGTAAACCCAAGGATTAAGAGTTGCAATAACAAGATTGCAGCCAGTCTTCTGGTGACACCAGTGCATCTACTTGATCTGGTCTGGGATACACGTCAGATCCCCTTTCTGTGAAAAAGGTAAGAAGTAGTGCCAAATCCAAGACCAGGTGAAGGAGAGTGGGTGAAAGGATAATTGGAAGGTTTTCCAAATCATGGACAGCAATCTTAACAACCCGCCAACTGACGAGACGCCTGAAGAGTTTCACGCCATTGTTGCACATCCCCTGCAAAGAACAAGTTGGTCAGGTGATGCCGTGCTTCTGCTGGGCGGGATGGGTGTGCAGCAATGCGCTCGCCCTGCGTACCGGGCCTTGGGCTCGCACTTGTGGCAGCACAAGAGGCGCGGATGCGGATGTGGGAAGGGCTCCTTTCAAACCCGGGAGTGCAGCAGCGTGCAGATTGATCTTGTCCTGGTGGTAGGAAGAGCATTTGTAACTGCAGTGGCAGTATCACCAGCAGCAGCAGCAGCAGCAGCAGCAGCAGTAGTAGTAGTAGTCGTAGTAGTAGTGGTAGTAAGAAGAAGAAGAAGCCCCACGGCTCGAATGAGTCCATAGAGGGCTCTTGTAGCATTAGATGGCGTATTGATCGCCACTCATGCCATGGCTACGGCCTGCGAAGGGAAAGCTTAGCTTGACTGCGCTTACAGGCTTTTTCGCTGAGACACTTGCACCAAATCCCCTGGAGCTTTGACGTTAGCGCGTTTACGAGAATGAGCCTATGCTATACATCACAGATTGCCCTGCAAGTGATGAGCAACGGGGGCCTCCGCTGTTCCTTGAACAAGGGGTCGTGCCGACGGAGCTCAGATGCCATGACTTCATGGCGGTCACAGGTTGATGCGCATTGTATATGCCAACAAGAGCCGCCCCGGTCCCAAATCCAAGACGAGGAGAAGTGAGTGTAGCAGACTTTTCGATCAAAACAATACCTGCTCCTCGTGGTGTGAGGGTGGTGGGCCTATCCGCGGGGTCCACAGGAAGCGACCTACAAGATATGCCGTAAACATTACAAGGGCTGAAGCTTTGC